ACCATCATCATCATCATCATCGTCATCATCATCGTCATCATCATCCTACTCCTACTCCTATAACAACGACGACGACAACAACAACAACAACTACTACTACTACTACTACTATTTCTACTACTAGTAATAACAAAAGTGACCTCAACTGCTGCTTTGTTCACTATGAAGTAGTCTGACCACAGAAAACGACACAGTTACATATTTCACATTCAAAATATATTTTTATTAATGGGAAGTGTGGGATTAGATTTGTTAATTTATCTCAATTAAATAAGGCCTTATTTGCGACGAATCATATCTCATACCTGTCAGCACGAAGTCAAAATATACGAGTCCTCTGAAGTCCCGATGTTCCCCCAATACTCAGGCAATGTTCGGACATTTTTGGCTGGCGCGTTCGTTGGTGCTAAATAACTCCATATGTTTAGCAATTGTGTTTCTTCACTAATGTTGTATGAATCGCCTGTAGTTCCCTGGAGCTAGGCTCTGCCTATCGGCTACCTCCCAGTAACCGCCCCGACCGGCGGGCTAAACCAGGTGACAGTGTCCGTGTGTGCACCTCCGCACACAGTAACTCGTTTCCGCTCCCCACCACCAATGGCCGGATGGATCACCGCCTCGGCTCCGTCTGCAAACCGGCAGGAAGTCACAAGCACTCAGCAAGCTACTGACCCAGTGGCTGGAAGACCGCCCCTTTCTCCTTCTCACCTATTCTCACCCTCCTCCTCTGCCCCTCACTCTCTCCACGCTCTGCTCTACTCTCTTACCCCAGGGTCGAAGGTCCCAAGGATCATCGTATTTCCACCTACAGGACGAAGCTTCGTCTGCAACCCACATGAGGCCACAAGGCTAGTGCTGCTCCCCCCAGGTAAACCGAACACTGCATTGTCTTTGTTTTTACTTGTTGTTTGTTTGTCTGTTTGTTTGCGTTTGTCCATGTTGTAAGTTAAATATAGTTCTGTCGAATACCGTTCTGTTTAACTTTTTTCGCCCACCGTTTATATTTCAGCAACCAGCTAGCCTAGAGAGGGACGTAAACTCTGATTCCCGTCTCTCTACCCTTTCCCCATCACCCCGCTGCCCCCCCCCCCCTTTAAAAAGTCCTGCGGCGAGAGTAACAGCCACCACGTAGGCGGCTCAGGCCGTGGGTTGTCCTCCCACTAAACAAGGTCGTGGCCCATAGTGGAGCCCGGAAACCGTCTGGAACGCCTGAGCAGCTCTATTTAGGTACAGCATTGGTAGGCGGATGAGGGTGCTAGAAAAGGTGCCCTAAAAAATGCTGGGATTCCATCCTCTGGGCGCTGACCGTGGGTCGCAAATGCAAAAAACGCGGTTGAAACAATCAATCAAAAAACAACTCTCTCTCTTTCCCCTCCTCCCCGCCGCCCCACTTGCCAGACTGGTAGAGTGAGGCCGCACACTCTGGTAGCCTGGAATGTTCGTTCCCTTTTAGACAAACCGAGGAGCAACCGACCGGAACGAAGGACGGCGCTAGTGACTCGGGAACTGGCGCGCTACAAGGTGAACATTGCCACAATCAGCGAGAGCCGGTTCTCCTAACAAAGCCAAACGGAGAAGGTGGGTGTCGACTACACTTTCTTCTGTAGACGTCGACCCAAGTCAGAGCGACGGGACGCGGACGTCGTTATTGCCATCCGGAATGACATCGTGGGACGACTGCCCTGTCTGTCACAGGGCATCACCGATCGTCTGATGAGCTCCGCCTGCCTCTCTGGGGAGGCAAAGTCGCCACCATTGTCATCGTCTATGCCCCCCACGATGACCAGCCCTAACGAGGCGAGGAACAAATTATACGAGGAGACGCACGCCCTCCTGACGACTGTGTCGAAGGCAGACAAGTTGTTTGTCCTTGATGACTTCAATTCCCGAGTCGGCACAGGCCATGCTGCCTGGAGAGGAGTGCTGGGTCACCATGGTCTCGACGTCTCCAATGACAATGGCCTGCTCCTCCTACGAACCTGTGCAGAACACCGCCTTATCCTGACCAACAACTTCCGCCTTCCGACTTGGGAGAAGGTCACCTGGATGCACCCTCGGCCGTGACACTGGCACCCGTTGGACTATGTCCTCGTCCGGAGGCGGGAACATCAGGACGGGCTGGTGATAAATGCGATTCCGGGCGCTGGCGGATGCACCGACCATCGCATCGTCATCTCCAAGATGCGGATTCGTCTAAAGCCATGCAGGAGACCTCAAGGTAAGCGACCCCCGGGTACTTTGAATATTGCTTTGTCTTTGCCTGCTCATCATCTCTTTTTCACCAATGAACTGACCAAAGCCTAGCCAGCCTTCCAGTCGCCGCCGCCACCACCGCCGACGAGGACGAGAACGTCTCCGTGGAGAACCGATGATATCAGCTGAGGGACACGATCCAGTCAGCCGACCTGACTGTCCTCTGTCGCGCATGTCGCCCACATCAGGACTGGTTTGACGATGACGACACCGTCATCTGCAGCGCACTCGCCGAGAAGAACCGACTGTAAAAAGCTTACATCAACCGCCCCACCAGCAACAACAAAGCAGCCTTCTACCGTAGTCGCCACCGCCTTGTGTAACAGCGGCTGCGGAAGATGCGGGAGGCCTGAACAATTCTCAAGGCCGAGGAGACTCAAGGATGCGCGGACCGTAACGGATGAAAGAACTGCATCTCTGGGACCAAAGCCGTCTGCGGTCCCACAGCCAAAGCAACTGCTCCTCTATTCAGTGCCAACAGAACCACTTTACTCACTGAGAAAGCGCAAATTCTACAGTGATGGGCCGAGCACTACAGAGGCGTCCTCAATCACCCCTCCATCATATCCGACAACTCTATAGCCCGTCTGCCTAAATTGGAAACCAACGCCGAAATCGACCTCCCGCCCTTTCTATATGAAACTAGCAGGGCCGTGCAGCAACCTCCGGGCGGTAATGCGCCCGAATCAGACGCGATCCCTGCTGAGATCTACAAGCACGGCGATTGCGAACTTATGAATTACCCGACAGCTTTATTCCAGGTGATGTGGAGATAAGAACAAGTCCTCTAGAATTTCAAGGACGCCACAATCGTCCATATTCACAAGCGGAAAGGGAACCGGCAAATCTGCGACAATCACAGAGGCACCTCCCTCCTCAACATCGCCGGAAATATCTTCACTCACATTCTCCACAACTGTCTCAACCTCTGCCTGGAACGGGACTCCTGCCGGAAAACCAGTGCAGTTCCCGCCGTCACCGCAGAACCACCAAAATGATTTTCGCCGCCCGTCAACTGCAAGAGAAGTGTCAGGGGGTGCAGATGCAACTCTACCATATCTCCGTGGATCTGACGAAGGCCTTCGATACAGTGAGTCGTGAAGGACTGTGGAAAATCATGTAGAAATTTGGCTGTCCCGAGTGATTCACTCAGATGGTGCGTCAGCTCCACGATGGCTCAATGATGGCGCGCATCACGGACAATGGAGCTGTCTCAGAGGCATTCGCAGGGACTAACGGAGTGAAACGGGGCTGCACCCTCGCACCTACCCTCTTCAGTCTTATGTTCTATGCCATGCAAATGAACGCCTACTGTGATGAACGTCCAGCATCGGCCTCGCCAACAGGACGGACGATCAACTCTTCAGTCAACGGCGGATGCACTTCAAGTCGCGTGTATCCGCAACCACCGTCTACGAACTTCTCTTGGACGACGATTGCACTCTCAAAGCAACCACTGAAGAAGACATGCAAATAAACATGGCTCTCTTCGCCGACGCCTATAACAACTCCGGCCTCGTCATAAGCTGGAAAAAAACGGTGATTATACAACAACCGTCACCCAACGCTGCCTACGATGCATCCCAAGTCGACGTGAACGGCGCTCAACTGCAAGCCGTGGGCACCTCCATCTACCTGGGTAGCATCCTCTCTCGCAACGCCAAAAATCGATGATGAAGTGGACTGCCGAATTTTCAAGTCCAGCTAAATCTTCGGCCGTCTGCGAAACACAGTTTGGAATCGACACAGTCTCCGCATCGGCACCAAATTGAGAGTGTAGAAAGCGGTCATCCTGTCGAAGCTGTTTCATGGAGCGGAGACCTGGACGGTGTGCAAGAAGCGGGCGCTCAGTCTCAGTCACTTCCACCTCAGTTGTCCTGGACGAATACTAAAGCTGAGGTGGCAGTTCTAGATTCAGGACACGGACGTACTGGAACGGACAGGAATCCTTAGCATCCACGCCCTGCTGAGACAAATGCAACTGCACTGAGCGGCCATCTGGTGCGGATGGACGACAAGCGAATACCCAAACGAATCTTCAATGGGGATGTTGCCACGGGTTCCCGCTGACTAGGAGGTCAAGTCCAGCACCACAAGGACACTATGAAGGCTTTCTCGAAGTGCATGCAGATCAACCCGGCCAACTGGGAAGACCTCGTCAAGGACCGATCGACCTAAATGAGGACAGTGATGACAGGCGCAGCGATCTACGAAGCCAACCGCGTCACCGCCTCCAAAGCCAAAGGCGACCCAGCGACTTTAACAACAACATACACTCGTCGCCTCCGCCCTCTACTGCTCTTACTGCACCTGCACATTCACCCTTCGCAAGGGCCTATTAGGCCACGTACGCATTCACGAAAACCTGCGGTAAACGACCGCTGGCTATACCACACCAGCACATCTCCCCGCACCGACAACTGCATCGCGCAACATCATCATCCACCCCAAGCACTCACTTGCCACCTCCCATGCAAGTTGGAAATGTGCGTCTCGGCTCCATCTCCATGCGGCTCCTCTGGTGCATGCTTGATCCGAGTCCGAGACTATCATGGCACACCAAACACAGTTGCTTGGAGGGCTGCTGACTGACGTCCAACTCAGTCCACACAGTCTGCCCATTTGTGTGTGTGTACGTGCAGTGTGCCGGACTGGTGGGCTGACAGCCAGGCTGAAGTGGCTCCTTCCTAACCTGACCTACGGCATCCTCACGCATGTGAGATGCATGCCGCTGAACCTCTGTCGTGTGAAATCTTGGTGCCTGTGTTTGGGGATCCTGGTCGTGTACGTGGCGCGCGCAGACAAGGTCACTAGATATATCAGCAGCTGCGCCCATTCCCCGTACCTGTCAACCGACCGGCTCGATCAGTGACTGGGACCGGGGAATTGGAAGGGGGAGTGAGGTTGACGACTCAGCTCATTTGCCTCACTATAAACAATCTGACGTGCTTGAAGCTATCACGGTGCGCTTAAATCCGTGGCTTGGAAGGTTTCCAACTGACGGAATAACTTGAACCTCGCAGTCGGTCCAGTGTTGTGTGTTTGTGTGGAGCGGCTGACTGATAGTCTAAGGGTCAGGCTGCAATGGCGCCTTCTTAATGTGGCCTTGATGACACTCCCACTCGGTGGGATCCGAGCCAGGTGTGACGGCACGCCTAGGTGCGGCTCCGGCCGTGCCAGCCACCCTTTTGTTGTAGGTCAAAATCCTGGTCATTTGCTGTGTGGACCAGGGGGTGTGTAGTGGAGCGCCAAGGTGCGGGCTCGACCGTGCCATTCACCTGCGCCCTCCCCCGTCTCCGGTCTTCTTGACTATGCTTTGACACCGGGTCCAGATGGGGGAAGAGGAGAAAGTGCGGTAGATGTTGTGCAAGTCTACATTCACTATAAACTAATTCACGCACGAGCCACCGTTCCTGCTCCACCTTGTTGTGGAACACACGGTGGAAATCATCGGATGTGACGTTTGCACTGTTGTATGATCGCGGAGACGCATCACTCTGACTAAAGGTTCGCCGGGGTACAGTCTGTGCTCGCTACCCTGAAAATAGATGACACACGGATGGAGTAGTTGGGAGGTATCGAAATCGTTCTCAGCAGGCTAACACGTGTTAACAGTAATGGGTGCAAAAGGGCCAAAATGAGAACTTTTTGTCATGTATGAGCGATAGAGATAGGAGCAAAAACTGAAAGTATGTTGATTCAAAAACCGCTTGAATTCGACGGCTCTACTAATTTTCACTTCCCCTGAGCGAGCTTGCTGAAAGGCGCCCCAGAACCCCGTCAGTCGAACTCACTGAGCCAGTAGTGCACTATTTCAGTTAAACTTCGGTAATGGAGGTAGCCCCTATTCGAAATCAAGTCACTGGTATTCACCTAATTGCATTGTGATTAGGCACATTGTAGAGGTTGTGACTACTAAGATAGTTGCGAAAATCTGTGAAGGAGAAACTGGTATTTAGCTATTGGGTAAGATGTTTACGAATTGTGGTGACTACATGTTTGATCCCGTGAATTCTATGTAGGGAACTTAGAGGCAATTTTGTGTGTGAAATGGCTACTTGTGGGTAGTCATGGCAGTTCGACTCTTAATGCGGACCCGATTCTGAAAAAAGCTTTTACACGTAACGGTCAGCACACACTTGCCTAACCGTAGGCAATTTGACGCGATTAGCATTGTGACTAGTTAGGTTGTCATTTAATTTGGTTCTCCTCTGGACTATGGGTGAGACTACAATGACTCCTCAGTAATGTAACTTTTGGGTAAAGTCAGTTCTTTAGAAATCCGAACACTTGCGCTGGATGCGCTAGTCAGAAACGGTATGCCAAGACAGCCACTCCCAATACTTTTCGTCCACAACTTTCGGTTTTGCAGACTGATCGACATGCAAGCACTCCGACGTTCTTGGCTAACTCTGCTCGTTTTTTGCCACGTCCAAATCGTGACCCACAACAGGACTCCGCAGTCGCTGGGGATGTCACAGTAGTTCTAAATAACGAAGCACATTTCAGTCCTCACTGGGAGGACTGGCAAAAGTGGTAGCCGCGCCGCTGTAAACTGATCGTGGCTAGCAGACATTTAAATGTGGCCAAGACACTGTGAGAAATTATAACCCAATTCAGAGTGACATTTAAAGCACCCAAGGCTAGGATTCATGACTTTTATTCGTGAGAAACTGCGAACTGAGCACCACCGAGATGGACGCGCAGACTCTCGAATATATTTGCCCCAGGATGCACCAACTTCAGCTTCAGCATTGATTTGGAGAGCAACTCAAGCGCATTATATCTGTCAGTGGAAATCCTCACGCAATTGTAGGCCAATTTGCGTGCCCGAAAAGCACTGGCTTTCAGAAACGACGATAAAATTGCACTTTTATACGTTTCTACGTCGTTCTGATGGAAACACGAGACATGGCTCTTTGTGGCTGAAGTAAAGGAAAACTAGACGATGGAAGCTTCACCTTCGTGGTGTTTCTCCCGCACGTGTCAACCTCGGTGGAAGAGAGATGAGACTTCAGCTGCCGTAAAGTTTGACTTGAACGGGGTGTGAGTTGGGTGCCTTTATAAGTCTCCCTGGGAAATTTATCAAATACTGAGATAACTTTAGCGACCCTATCACAGCAGCGTGGAATTAGGCATCACAGGGTAAGTGAGAATCTCGTTAGAAGCTTGTCAACAAGCGCTGATGCTGGAATTGCAGCAGGTAGAGTGTCAGCGAGACACTGGCTTTCTGATAAACGGTTATTTATACCCTCTTTGAAGCAGCATCCCAGTAATACCGAAAAACGTTTGAGAAGCTGGATTGGTTGTTTCTGGCTTAGCTACCTTCATCGGTTTGCCATACTCCCAACGTAAGGCCGGTAGGTGAAGAAGTTTTGACCTGTGTCCAGCTGTTCATCAAGCATTTGATTGATCAGCTCTGCTACTTGAACCACCGACCCATGTCCCGCTGGCTAGTCTCTGGAATTCATATTGACCCAATCGTTAAAAACTCGGCGCCTCGGTGGGATTCGAACCCGCGCAGTAAGGGGAAGGCTTTAGTACAGCCAACGCTCTAACCACTTGAGTTACGAGACCCCGCCGGACGACGCGAGTTTAATCACATTTGGGTCAAGTTACCCGCCCAACCTACTGCAACGTCTAGAATCCACCAAATCTGACACAGTAAGTTGACTGCCCAGGCAGGATTTCCTAAGTAATTCACCTAGAATCTACCAGACAACTACCGGGCTCACGTAATTCATAGATATTTTGGCAGATCTTGAATAATTCATGTTGACCCAATTGTGAAAAACTCGGCGCCTGCGTGGGTTCGAATCCCACCGAGGCGCCGAATTTTTCACAATTGGGTCCATATGAATTATTCAAAGTCTGCCAAAATATCTATGAATTCTCTGAAATATCCAAAAGCATGGGCAACTGTGCCGCATCAATCTGGTTGCAGAAAGTGACACTACAATTCCTATTCTGAACCTCCCCTGACGTTCGCACATCCACAAGCAATTAAAGTCTGTAGTCTTCCTACATGAATCGCTTGTCACCATGTGATCCCCTTTATGAGTTCTAAACTAAAGTTTCCGGAAAAAAAACAGACAGCAATGTTTTTCCCGTAACCCAATTGGAAATGCACGATTTTCATTCTATGACTGTTTTGGCCAGTTTATTATATTTCCTGGAGTTATTTTCAATGCAACCCTCTAAGTGGGAGATTTCCCACTCTACTTATGTTTATTTAGTCCCCGTATTAACTACCCAAACAGGCAATCAATAAGAAAGGATCATCCGGCGTATAGCACATACTCCTTTCCCGAAAGCTACCCGGAAATACGCCTTTTTCACAGCTATTTCTCTTCATGCAGATCAAAGACCTATTCAGGTAATAGCGCTTCCGTTCACACCATAAGCCCGTCAACCGTACCGTTAACAAACAGTGTTGGTGCAGTCTCCGAAGCCTAGTAGACGGGTGTTCGTTACGGCCGCCCCCGCTGTATGCACGAACAGGATGGCCGCCCCTTTATCATTTGCCGGACTGTCATAGTCGCTGCGAGCGAGGTTACGCCGTAGTAAAGCCTGGTTCGCGAGGGGCCATGCCGACCGAACGACCTTGAGAGCGTCAGCTGATGCCTGATCACATGACACCCTGCCACGCCACCATGGCGACTTAGAGCACACAC